TCTTTCCTCTTGCCTCTGTATCGCAAATCTCCAATTCTTTCTTGATCGTGAATATCTGATTTTCTCTCTTGATCACCAATTTTGACCCTCTTGAAGAACCCTAACTTATCTTTTTCTTCATGCCTATAAGCATCGCAAATTTTAGCACTTTTGAAAGTTGAAACCAAGAGCTATCTCTTATGGTGTTAGCAAGTGGAACCTATTATTCATGTTTTGCGCTTGACTTGTAGTTCTCCTAGATATGAGCATAATTGGAGCTCATTTGAAATGGCAATTGAAGTTCATGACCTTTTTTATGGTTTTAATTTTCTTTGTTTAGTTTTAGACTTAGATGATCATAATATTTTAGTATTTTATTTTCTAGGTTCATACAAAGAGGAGAAATCACTTGTATCAAAAGAAGATGAATGACTTAGTTTATATGATGTACAACTTGAACTTTAAAAGTAAACTAAAAAGGAAAATTGTTACTCTTCCATTTGATGATATTCAATCTAATGATGAATGGATAATTGAAGAAGGAGACAATGTTGGGATGAGCAACCTCAAGTTAAAGGTGATGGTGGTAGTAATGTGCAATTGGTTGGAGGAGGTTCAAGTAATCCAACTTTGGATGCATGTCATCTTGACAATTTGGTTTTTGATAACAATATTGTTAATGAACATTTTTCATCCGAGGAAGATCTTGATGGTGATGAGGATGATGATGGAAATGGTATAGGTGACCTTGGACTCAGATGATATTATTAGAGGATTAGTCATGGAGATTTGAAGACATTAGTCTTTTTATAGTTTTTTAAATGCTATTATATTAATAACTTATGTTTTGTATGAATTTAAGCTTGATTTGGTGTACTTCAATCTTATTGAGTGGTAATGTACTACTAAATTTTGCTACTTTATTATTGTAATTTTCTATTTTTTTATAATACGGAGTTGAAATGTTGATTTATTATGTTATTTATAGGTATTTTTATACTTTTATATCAAGTAAACTCTTATAAGTTTACGACTCAAGTTTATGGAACCTCCATGATTTTACATAAACTCTCGAGTTTGACAACTTTGGTTACATGAGTGTATTGTTTTATAAGGTTTAGTTTTCTATTTTAGGAGTAATTATTTCATGGAGGGAAAAGATACTTGTATAACAAAATTGTACAACATAATTTTGTGTCTATCTCTATCCATCACTTTATGTATTACACTCATTAATAATGGAGATAGACAAAATAATATTGTTGTATGGGAGCACTTACGTAAATTTTGTATAGAATATGCCCTTTAAGAAAGTAGTGACATGTGAGTGCATTCAAAAGTTCTTTGAACATGATTATTATCTATAGGAGTTGGTAAACTCAAGTTCAACTTTTTTTGTAATTTGCTATTCAATTAGTGTGCCTAAATCTCAAATTCCAATATTCTATCAGCATACCTTGTCATTTTCCAAGACATCAACAATATCTTCATAAAGCCATAATCTACTGCGTTTCCCAGGTTCTGATGGTGATTCCTGCCGAACAATTTCTCTGCCCATGTCCTCTACCAAGTTATGCATTCTCACAAAACCACATTGATCGATCTTTATGAGAGATCTATCAATCAACACTCGAATAACATACTCTGGTGAGAAACCACGACCTTGGAGCAATAAACTTATGACATCTTTCAAAATGTAACCTCTAAAGAAACAAGCTATGTCAAGGAAAACTTCTTTCTCATTTCTCTTCAAACCATCATAGCTTACTTTAAGTTTTTCCTGAATATCTTCATCTGGAATTCTTTCATAAGTATCTAATGCTGCTATCCATTCAGACATTGTTTTACCACATAAGTTAGAACCTATTATTTCCAAAGCCAAAGGAAGGCCATTGGAATAAAGTATTGCCCGCTTAGAGACATCCATGTAACTTGGACCAACCTCATTGCTTTTAAAAGCATGCCAACTAAACAGCTCAAGAGCTTCTTTATGATCTAATCCTTTTGCCTCATATGTTCTTTCAACACCACGTACGTGTAGCAAATGTTTATTCCTTGTCGTGACAATGATTTTGCTGCCATAACCAAACCAAGAAAGATCACCAGCAAGTGCATTAAATTGCTCCATTTTATCAACATCATCAAGGATCAAAAGAACTTTCTTCCGTTGAAGCTTGCTTTTCAATACTGCCATTCCCCTATTAATACTGCCCAACTTGATACTCTTCTCCCCAACCATTTCAGAAAGTATTGTCTCCTGAAGTTGTACTAAACCATACTTCATTGAATTTTCTCTAATATCAGCAAGAAAACACTGACCTTCAAATTGATCAGCAATGCAATTATACAATGCACATGTGATTGTGGTTTTACCTATTCCCCCGATTCCATAAATTCCAACCATGCTTACTCCTTGATTAGATCCCACATCCAAAAGTGACTTCACCTCTTGCACTCTAGATTCCAATCCAATTGGATAATTAGCCACATGTAAAGGGCTACGATTTATCTTTCTTGACACCTCTTCAACAATTGTCTGAATAAATTTATATTCGTACCTAAAAAATACATATAAAGTTAAATCAAGTGCATCCATTTCCATTAACAGGTTCAAATCTCAACATATCTTAGTAAAGCCGTATATGACTAACAATTTTTTTCTTAATGCATGTTGAAATATATCAACAAAAGAAATGAAAGTAAAAACAACAGAATCAACATATGTAAAAGTAAAAGACAGGCAAGTACCCATGTTTGAACATGAAATGAAAACCAGACAAATTAGCCGCTTCTTTTAGAGCTAGCTTCCATTTCCGCAGCCTCTCCTCGTCATTCTTGAATCTTTCTCCAAGCTTAGCCAATGCTTCCCCATAAGAACCTTCCTGATTCCGCACATAAGAAGGACTCACTCCATAAAAAACTGGCCAAACCAATCGACCCTTTTTCATTATGCACTCAAGAATTATAACAAGTTCTTCAAGACAATAAGCCGAGGAAGCATAATTTTCAGAGAAAACAACAATGGCAATTCTAGACTGCTCAATTGCCTTGAAAAGGGCTGGTGTAATCATTTCCCCTCTGCTAAGCTCCACATCATCTATGAATGTGTGGATTCCCCTGTCACAAAGAGATCTATAAAGGTTTCCAGTGAAGCCACTTCGAGTATCTTCGCCTCTAAAACTGAGGAACACATCATAAGTCCATTCACAGGTGGAAGAAGAGTAACACAGTCGCTGCTTCATCATAACTACCTTAACGAATGAAACAGTTGGTACCCTCTATAATTAGTCAAACAATAAGTGAACATCACAAGTTGATAATAAGTATGCAATTGCAATGTCAACATCTAATTCACGAAGTTTCCTTGTAGAGTGAACATCTAATTCCCTTGTTGCATGCAGTACCCAATCCAATTTAATTAACTGCTTCTAATTACTTAAAAAGTTCATTCATTAAATAGCTATAGTGATTTTACCATATATAGTAATAAAATTTTAAAACTTTCTGATATAATAAAAACCCACAGCACTGATTACTGAAGTACGAACCAAAAAGGTCGCGTTGATTCCGAAATTCAAGTTCGTGCGATGAAATCATATATGCAATCAAGCGAATCCGCAAAAGATCGTCAAAAATTAGGGATTGTGAAACCGAACAAATTAGTTAAAATTACGTAACAGCTTTTTCTTAACTCGTGTTAGCATCGAGTGAATTGATAATAATAACTCTTCCCAGACTAATAATCATGAAATGAATATGCAGAAGAAAAAGTTTCGATGGAAATTGAAAACACGGTAATAATATGAAACATATAATATGAGTGAGAAGAGAGCGAACATGCCTGCGTCCAGAGTGCTTCAGCGATGCTTAATAGTTTACAAAGTTGAATCTCATGGCGAGTTCCTTTTGCCCTTGTTTGGTAGAGGAAAGTACAGAGTTATTTCGTGTAGAGAAAAAGGAACTGATGAAAGAAATTAAGTGGAGGATTTATTTAAGAAAAATACTTTATTCTTTAGAAGTGGGTGAAAGGAGCAAATAAAATAACCTCACGTGTTGAACACATCCGTTGTAAATTTTAATTAGTTCTTTCAACTTCAAAATTTGGAATTAACTTTCTCCTTTTATTTTTTTAGCCTGAAATTATAAGTTGATTTATGATTCATAAAATATGATATATTACTTATATTTTTATATTTGAACAATTATATCACGTTATATTTTTATTTTATATTATCCTTTATGTGTATTAGATTTTAATTTGATAAAAAAATTATAATTTTTCTAATAATAATTTTTAGAATAGTATAAAATTTTAGTGGGTATTGATTGAAAATGTGATAATTTATTATAGTTGTTTAAATATGAAGATCCAAATAATATTTTGTCAAACTTTATAATAAACATATTTGTATAGAAATAAAAGATGAATAATCTCATTATAATTTTTTTAATTAGAAACATGATTAAAATATTAAAAAATTATATAAACAAATTGTTTTGTTATAGAAACTAATATAGTTTTATCCGGGGGCATAAAAGTAAAATTATGAGTAAAAGATCTAGTTCTCTTTTTTTAGTCTTATCATTATATAGTAGTTTGGTTATTTATTTTTTTCTTATTAATTCGGATATGATTCTTATCTTTAGCTTATTTTTTTGTATATTATTAAAGTTTGCTTATCATGGGAAGGATTATTGCTTTTATTCTAGTGTAATGCTTTTTAAATGAGGTATATCTTTTTATAAGCAAATGGGCCTCAAATTATAAACTCAGTAGATAATAGATCAGTTATAAACCAATTAAAATGAGAATGATCAATATGAAATCCATCAACTATGGGATTAGGAGGGTAGACAACCCTTCAACCTTAAGCATAATAACGCATAAAGGCTAAGTTAAGTGGACAATGATCATCTTTTTATAGATTGGCTATGTGCCTAAAAGGCTACACAACCTTCAACCTTAAATGTAATGGTGTATAAAAGCTAAGTAGAGTGGACAATGGTCGTCTTTCTATAGATCCATTTTGAGCCTAAGAGGATACACTATTTATTGTCTATACAAGTATGAAAGGTTTATTTGTTGAACTAGAACGATTGTATATTCAAAATATTTATTTATGTGCATTAAATACATATTTGGACACATTTTTTGAGTGGGAGGTTTGAGCTCCATGTGTCGCTATACATTGCACGAGTTTCGTGTTCCACGTATTGTTACATGTTCAGTGCACATTGTTTCATGTTCTTGTTCTACCACCAACACATCATTTCATCGAGGGTTCATAATGATGGTGGTATTTAGTAGCAAAGGTTAGATTGTCAGATTTTGGTTGAAATATTATAATTTTGTAATTTGTAAAAATAGTAAATGGTAGAATTAACTTTTTGAGGTCAACATAGAAGTTGTAGATAATTGACTTTATAAGAAAATTAATATCAACTTGATAACATATATATAGTTCTAGATATGGTGTTTGGACTACACGAGGTCTTAGAAAATTAAGTTGTGAAAATGTAGTTTATGAATGATGATGATGAATTGTTGGAGAAAAAGATACACACTAGAAGGGGGTTGAATAGTGTATATCAAAAACTCACATTTTTAATGTGCAGTGAAGTAGTAGACACTATGACAAATGAAGTACTAGAATACGAAGGCACACAGATATTATATACTGGTTCATCTTAAATATAGAGACTACGTCCAGTTCTTAATCGAACTAGGTTGAGTTTCATTATCTTTTTCAAGATACAAGTATTCTTTCATAAATCACTTTTAGCTCAAACCTAAGTAGTCTATGACTTGCCTCTCCAAGCAACTACCCAAGTATTCTTTCAACAAGCCTCTCTAGACTTATACCCAAGTATTCTTTCTTCAAGTTTCTCCAGGCTAAACACCAAGTATTCTTTTTACAAGCCTCTCCAAGCTTAACACCAAGTATTCTTTCAACAAGTCTCTCTAGGCTCAACCCTTACAAATAAATTTGACTAGAGTTACAAGGATAGCTCCGTCTCTTCTAAACGTGATACTATGAAAATACAACACAAATAAACTACAAAGAACTATGTACAAGATTTACGATGAAGAACTTCTTTGTAGTGCTTCAGCTTTGTTCTCAGAATGTTTGATTAGTGTAAACTACTTAGTGAATGTTGATCTTGTTATATACAATTTTTTTCTTTGTATCTATATGTTATATTTTATGCTTGGTGTTTGAAGGTTTGATCCTTATATAATAGCTTTAGAGAAGATGATTGTTACAACAACGTTGAGTTTGAACATTTAAATTTTCTTCATAAGTTACTTCGTCTATCTTCTTTGTTGATCCTAGAGATTACTGTTGATGCATTAAATTCCTTTCAATGAAGCATGTATCTCTTATCTGATCTTGCCATCTACTTATCATCATTTTGTTTTGAATTAAGCATAGCAGAAGTAGTGTCAGAGTAGAGTAGTTGAGTCTTCGGGCAATAGTTGAGTCTTTGGGCAACAGTTAAGCCATCGAGCAATAGTTAACAATTGATTTAACTAACACCACATAAATATGCACCTTGAAGTCCGTGTCCATTGAATTATATATATATATATATATATATACACACACACATACATATGTGTGTATACAAGTGAATTTATGAGATGACTTGTATTAGTTATATGATTTATGTATTATCAGTCGAAATGTATTTTGTTGTATCAATATATATGTATCAGTAGTCTATTATGATTTATATATTTGCATCTTCTGTTGTGCTTGGCTATCTACACCACGAGCTAGAGTGAAATATTTCTCACTCCTCTTAGTTTTTGTTTGTCTCTATTGTATGTCCTTGCAAGTGGTTTACATACGAGGTTGAGGATGTTGTTGATGAAGCCTAGTCTTTACATTGGGTTTATGCTTTAATATGAAGTGACATCGAGGTTGAGGATGTTGCTAACAATATAGTTGAAAAATTAATTATTTTAAATTATTTAACTAAAATTTTATTGACAATTTATTATATGATCTTGATACTTTTGTATAACTAATATCTGGTTTTAAATTTGATATGAAAATATTATGATATAATTAGATAAGATTTTAAATTATTATTTTATTAATGGTTGATAATTAGAAAATAAAACAAGAATAATACATTTTTTGAATTTTATATAATAAATAAATATTTATAATTTTATAAATTATATTATCATTATAAATTATAAAAATAATATTTTAAAATATATAAATTATTATTTAAACTTTTAAATTTATAATAAATAATTTAAATTGTTTCATAATATTAATTTTAAATAGAAATAAGTAGATTGCTAATTATAAAAGTAAGTATATAAACAAATAAAGATTAATTAAATATAATATAATAATAATTATTATTATTATTGGTAATATAATTATTACATATTATTATATTTTTATAATAGTTCGGATACAACAGAATGAGAGAGATCCAGAAATAGTACAAGTATGAAATTGTATAGTTGAGGATGATTTAAATGAATTAATTTGTATTACTTATACTAATAACATGCATCTATTTTTTGGTAGCTTATCTCATCAAAACTCCACAATTAAGCATGTTTAACTTGGAGTAATATAGGGATGGGTGACCTTTTGGGAAGTTTTCCAAAAATTGTGCGAGTAAGGATAAAATACACTAAAAAGTGAAGTGTCGTGAAATGAAACCCTTGAGAGACAAAATATAAGGGGTGTTTATTGTAACGTAGTAGGTTGGTACAAGGTTTAGTGAGTGCTAGAGAGAAGAGTATATAAGGATACTCGTGTAACCCCCCGGTGCACAACACCTCTCTATATCTTTTTCCATTGCATGAATGTGTGTGAATTAATTGTTGTCCCCCTTATAACAATGAGGTTTTAAATTTAATTTTTTAAAGGTTTCAAAAAAAATATAATTTTAAATAATAAAAAAATAATATTCTATCTACACATCATTTTCTTCGTGCATCTCACGGATACACGCCCTAGTTAGTTCCAACGGTTCGCTAGTACTTTGGTTTTGGTAGAGAATCCTATGGATAAGGCTAAGGTCTGCTTCCATGTTCAAATGCACTTGGTATATATCATTGATATTACAAATTTTAAAAAAAGGATATTGCCAAATTTGTGTGCTTAGTGCATAGCAGTTATAACATTGTATATATCATTGATGATTAATATTACAAAACAGAGAATACATGCAACATGCTAAGACTACAGGACCATATGTAATATAAGTTCCTCTGTCATATACCGTTACACACTTCTCACGAATATTGTTTTCTTTCTGTCAGAGAAGCAAAAGAAATTTAAAAAAAAAATGTAAAGAAGGAAGAGAGACACTAAATGGTCACCATGATGTAAAAGTTTCACAATGAACATCGTAATGATGATGCTATGTTGTTTAGAATTACAAATACTCTCTTCATATATATTTCCTAATTTGTCATATTAAAGTCTGTCAAAGCATCATTTGCATTGATGACCTGATGTCTATTAGTATTATAATTCTCTTAGATTATCATGTTTATTACTTCATTTTTTCCATTAAATATAGCAAAAGATTTCAATATAAAGTCTAGGTTTAGTGATGATCATAGTTAAAAATATGGGGAAAAATAGTCTTCTTCGTGAGGATGAAAAAAATGCTGATATATTTAGTTTAGTTCAAGCATTTGTTTCACAGGTCTTACATGAAATTTTTAATTGAACATTTTAATATTCCATGGACCTGTCAACTTTGAAGCATAATTGGCCCTCTATATATATATATATATATATATATATATATATATATACACATA